TGCAGCATGTGGTGTCTCATTCCAGTTTCATAGTTGTATGCTATTGCTTAAGAATCTTTATAGAGGGTTTTTTATTTTTTTATTTTTTAAATCTGTATTCTTTGCTCTTAAAGAGGAAAAACATTAAAACATCTACATCATATTCAGGATATTTTCAAAGCTTATTATTTCAAACCAAGCTATATGATTTCAGGGTGCTTGGAATTATCAGTACTGGAGGAAAACTGTATCACTGTTGATATCCTTCCCAAACGTAAGGATCCCTGCCTTCACAGTTCACTGAATGTTTTTTTATCCTATTTAAACTGCTCTCAAATTAGAAGGACTAAAAAGCAGAAGTACATTAATAATAATTTTGACAGTTTTCCTCAACCTCTTAGTTAGAACCAAAAAGCAAAAGTTATTTAATCTTACTATGATAATGTGATGGCTACCATTGTACCACCATCATTACAGGTTATTTGGACTCACTTTGATCCTTCAGCTCTGGTTACACTTTGAGATATAAACTCTAGGACACAAAGACAGGCAAAATGGAGCCCCAAAACCAGGAGTGATGAGCACAAAATGTCATTGTTGGTACTGAAAGGCCTGTGAGTGTGCACCTGCATTTTCATAGCATTCAAGATTGCTGCAGGTTTTGTCACTGAGCATGGACAAATTTACTGCTTTCTTGGTAAAAGTATTTAATTATCTAGGCTTGATTAGATTCCTTTGTATCATAACTGGGGTCAGAGGAAGAGGGGGAAGAAGTACTAAGAGGGTTCTCCAGGCCTGGTATCCATTGCATTATAGTGAAAAGGTCAGAGCTCGACTTGATCCTCTGCCCAAGAATGCAAACTCCCGTTCATCCTTTCTCATTAAAGCATTTGAACTGAAAAGTAAGGGGGCTAGATTGGATAATCTTTAAAAATGGCGAATTAATGGGTCCAAAAGAAGAGTCTGCAAGAGGAATTTGCCTCTGTAGTCCCACAATAAGGCAAAGGGAGAACTGAAGATTGATTTATGCTTCCCAAATCAAGTTCAAAGCCCAGGGCAATTCTAATTACTGTGCCGCTATGACACATTTGTCATTAATCATTCCCATGTGCTGTCTCCCGAGTGTTTCACAAGACAAGGAGCAAGCTGAGAATGCCAGTCCTGTCACTGCACTCCTGATCTAGAGAAGGAGTAAGGCATGGTGATACTTACTCATTTTGTCCATGAACGAAATGCCATGCTTCTAGGTTGCTATAAGAGAGCAAAATAATGGCACAAGTTCCACACTCTTATTTCTTGCTGTTTTTAAGAGGAAAAGTGTAAGTAGCCTTCATGTGCTAAGAAAGTTCCTATATCCTGCAGGACTGTAGATCCTGATCTCAGAAAAACTACTACCTCAACTTGCACAGAGTAGCCTGAGAAAGATGAGATTTTAAGCACTTCTCATCCACATTTCCTTCCAGCTGGTTTAGGTGTCTTTTGGATTACATGGAAACTGACTGCTTAAAATAAGTCTTTTGTAAATTCTGTGGAGGGATGTGCATGTCAAAAAGCCAGCCATCACTATATTTTAGTCCTGTCTAGATTTGGACTGCAGTGACAATGCTGGCATTCTCAGCTTGCTTTTTGTCTTGTGAATTATTTTAGTAGAGCCAGTGGATAAGAAAGAGTAATTATGGAGGTGTCATAGCAGCACCATAATTAGGATTGCATTGAGCTTTGCAGTTAAATTTTATGCCTAATGCTCCCCTGCTGTCCCCCATCAGCATACCACATTTGAAGTACAGCTACAATTAAACCATCATAAAACAGAGTACACAGCTAGACAAAATGATTAAAAGGAACCCAAAATCACGTGTTGTGAAGAGGAATGACTTTCTCATGACATTGGTTGCTCTTGCTATAGTTTGTAGACTTTCAAGCATTTCAATTTCACGATTTCCCCCTCTTTCCCTCTACCAATACTATAGTATGTGTCACCTCAGGCCCTATTATTTATCCAATTGCAAAACAGCCTCATCCAGTATGACACAAAAGAACTATAAATAATCTTGGCTCTGTTTATGCTTGAATAGTTCAACATGCCTGAGATGCCTGGGCACAGCTTGTGAACACAGCTATATAATAATCCATGGGATATAAAGCCAGTTCTTTTTTTGAAATTTACATTGGGCTTTGTTTTCTTTAGCTTGGATATTCACATCAGCATGGTTTTCCAGGAAGCAGGCAAAACATGAATGAAAAAGTCTCACTGTGCTGTTGAAGACTAGAACACCTGCAAAAAATCTGCTGGAGTTTACAATAACCCCAGGGTACTTTTGTCTTGTTCTTGTTTTGAATAGCATTTGTTCTTCTCCAATGGTATTCTGAATAAAGTATGCAGTATAATCCATTCACTAGAGTATATAAAGAAAGAACATACATGGCTTAATTTGAGGTAGTTAAAAACATAACACCTATGTACATACTGGATCAAACATAATTAACCAATATTCAGTCTTTTGAGGCTGGTTTTCAAATCTTCCAATCTCACAACTATACTCCAAAAAAAAAAAAAAAAAAAAAAAACACCCCACACATGTAGAGTTACAGACCTGCAGAAAGGCAAGTTGTGTGCTTATGGTCTGGAAACAGGAAGAGATCATGTGCAGCCTCTTCAGACCATCTGTACTAGTGACGGCCTGAAAGCAATGCAGGCACACAGGAACCAGCCCCCAGAGCATTCAGTAAGAGACCAGGATCAGCATAAGCTGACTCCAAGTGCCAAGTCATGTGCCCTAAAGTTCTTGTGCTAGCATTGGTTTGACTCAGAAAGCTTCAGCCATAATGTAGGATGAAAGGGAGGAGAATCATGCAGTAATCATACTATGTCCAGTTCTCATGCTGAATTAGCACAAAAATGTCTTGGATCATGTATACATTTGAGAACTTGCAGTGGGAGATTGTCACTCATCTGATGGCCATGACAGTCAGCATCATATTGACTTCTCTTTATCAAGACAGACAGCCCTACTGCTAGGATCCAATTCTGTAAAATGCATAGCACTGAAAGGTAGTTTATATCTAAATGCAAATTAATGGGCTCCATGTAGCAGTAACAGACAGCTTGTATTACACAGAAATGTGTATCTTCTGATTTAATTATACCTATATTTGGGAATCTACTAGAAATTAATGCAATATTCTGGTGGAATAATGTGCAGGGATCCTAAGTAAGTTTCCATTTCCCTTATTAGTGGTTCTGCTTGTAAAACTATTCAAATCTCTACTAGATAAGCCACTCAAATTTATTAAAGTTTGAAAAATTTTAATTACTTCAATGGGAAATTTGATTACAATAACTTCTGCAAGCCCATGTCCTGTTCTGGAAAAATATTTTATAGTCTGAAAATACTGTTGCTTTTATTCTCCCTAGAGTCTGCAGTGCAGTTCAAACTGATAAATATATTTTATTCTAGGAACTTTCATAATAAATGAAATGTTATTTTATTTTCTCTACACTTTGCACTACAAAAGCATGAATATCTTTTAATAACTCATTAAACTGACAGTCATTACAGTAGGTTAACTCAAAAACATTGGAGAGAACACTGTAAACAGCTTACTGAGGCCCAAATGCCTGTGACCATTAAAGTTTACTAAAGTATGCCATCTAGAGGTCTTTGGCAGAGCAAAAATAACAGTTCATGGTCTTCAGAGAAATGCCACAGTAGCATCACTCTGCCTTTTGTCTCAACTGTATGAGATCCTAGTTAAAACTCACCTTTCTGCATGAAACTGGACATGTGTATGTTTTGACTGGTGGCAAGGCACAAGCTGAGGTTAGTTTCATCATCTTTCTGCTCTGAAAAAGCAATTTAGAATGAACTTGCAGTTTATAGTTCAGAATTGTTATCTTCTATATATATTACAAGACTTTCAGCTTTTATGCACTTAACCTTTTTGATGTAGAACATAGAGAAACAGGACTTTTTGAATGCAGGTATATGTCAAATATTAGCATTAGTTTTGCAGTAAAACCTAAGTAAATGCCCTGTTGTACACAGAGGTGATTAAAACTGTAAACAAAAGGAATGAGTGTACAGTAATGACTTGTGTTCCTAGGGGCTGCCTGTATCTTAACAGATAATACTGCAAGCAAGAAAACTTCTTGAAAATACAGTAAAATAAACTGGAGTATCAGCAAAGGGTATTAATAAAGTTAATTTGGCAGAAAGGAATTTTGTAATTGTCTTGTGAGATAATAATAACAGATCTTGTCACATGACTTCTAAAAAGCTGTAACCCTTAGTTGCCCATTTTATCATTAAACATGTGGGATTTTTGTCAAGATGACCATGGATGTTGTACTTATGTGGCAGAACTATAGTTATATTACATTAAAACCTGAGAACTTTAGAATGCATTACTAGAATATTGCAGGAGTACACTATAAACATTAGATTTTGAATTAGAATTGAATAATGCTTGTGAGTATATTAGAAAGATTGCACCTGAGCATTTAGATATAATCAGGAAAAAAAAGTAAATATCCTGTTGTGTCTCTCATAAGTGTTATTTATTACAATACCTTTGAGGGTGCAATTTTTCATCTCAATTTCCAAGTGTATAATCAATGAATATAAAGATGTTATAATTACAAAATACAGAAAAGAGTTTGATAAAGCAGGTAATGATAGCAACAACAACAACAGATAGAAAGCTTACCCTTATCCTGGGCTCACTTACAAAACACCAGCAGAGGCAATCTCCAGAAGAGATCCTTCCCCACTGGTAGCCAGCTCTTAAATAGGTCTAGGAGAGGTGGAGCCAGGCTCCACCCCTTCTGGCAGCACAGGTGAATTGCCTTCACCTGTGCTCCTCTGGCTGACTCATTGCTCACCTCAGGTGATCAGTCAGAGGTTGATTGAGGTGATCAATCAGCAGTTCCCATACACCAAGGTAAAACTTGACTATGCCCTTAGTTCTTACTGGTGAATTTCTGAGATCAGTGACAACGAGAAGTGAAAGCAGTAGCTTCTATTTTTCTTTTGTGTGGGCTGAGGATTTAAAATGGCAAAAAATATGCACATCTGAATTTTTTGTATAACTTTAAAAGGTACGAAGGCATGAGCTTTTTCCATTGACATCTTTATTTTCAGATTAGCCTGGAAGCAAGAAGTCCCAATAGGAACATCGTCATTTCAATGCAGAGAAGCGCAAAGGCATGCAGAGATTTTTCTCCAGCAACTCTGAACTTTGATTCCAGTTCTAAACGTGGTTAATTATGATTTTTTTTTTTTTTTTTTTTAAGAAAAAACCTAAATGGAAGATTGCTAGAGTGCTAAAGAAAGATTTGTCTCCATTTCTTCTTGTATTTGTCACTTTCTGACTTCACTATAGCTGTAAGAGAGTACCCCTTGTATTGAGAAAGGGCTAAGTACTATATTCTGATGTAATGTAGAGTTTGTGCTGGAAGTCCTAGCTGAGAGAAAGGAAGATATTGTCAGTTTTGCTTTGTAGAAGAAAAAACTAAACAACAACACACGAACCTTAGCATTTTCTGGACAATCAGACAAATAGACGTTAGGAAGAAATTGTGTGCTTTGTTGTTGTTAAGTCTAGATTTGGCTCAGGATAAAAAATCATTTTAAGAGACACTAATGAATAAATCAGAAACAAGACTGGGTCTCCAGGAAGCTCTGTGGTTTTCTGGAAATGGAAGCTGGATTTAGTCCTTCCAAATTAAGAAGAAAGCCAGTCAGCCTTGTTTATGTTGTGATGAAATATGAGATTGCACGTATGCATGTATGTATGTATGTATGGGCTTCCTTTATGAAATCATTCTCTGATGTTTTGCTTCATTTATCACTTCAGCAGACTCGTCTTACAAAAACTGCAGGTCACAAGTCCACAGGAGCAGCTGGTGCAGAGGTGATGTGCAAATAGCAGTGAGCTATGTTAAGCCTGTGTTGGAATTGCACTTCTTCTGTGCAGAAAGAAGCAGAGCTGCAATCAGCTCCATAACCTAGATAGTGATATTAACCAGTAATTAAAAATTGATTCCCTCTCCCCCTCTCTCCACCTTCCCCTCCACTGTTCCTCACCTACCTTTAAAAATAACCTAGAATATCAGTTATGAATATTAACTTTTCTGTTGCTTCAGAGAAATGCAACATGCAGTGGTGAATTAATAATTAAAATCAGGAAAGTAAGAGCAGAAACACTCAAGGGAGTCAGCGGCAATGATGTTATTAAAACAGTCAATTTAGGAGTCAGAATTTCTCAAATAATTTAAATGTTAACTTATAAGATGACCTATAAAAGATGAAGCAACATATAAATAATCAGCTACCATACCAACTTTTTGCATAATTGGGTAGTTTATAATCAGCATGTTTCTTCTCTCTCTGTTTCCAGAAACTGCAAAGCCTTGTAAGCTCAGAAAGCTTCTTAAAGATGGAGAACAGAAATAAATGAGACTTTGACACTTCAAGTAATATATAATTGCCGTCAGAGAAGAAGATGTGGAAAAAAAAGGCTAGATGTTGAGCTCATTAGGGTTTTACCTGCGATCAGGTATATTGTATTACAAAGGTATTCTGATCTCTGCACTGTATTATGGACAGCAGTATATTTAACGAACGATATAAGATATGTGGGTCATGTAAGCACTTTTGGAAATTGCTAACCTTGTTCCAGAACTACAGTTTGTTTTTTTTAACCCCCTTTTTTTTTTTTTTCCTATTATTAGTGTTGTATACATTTTATTTCTCTCTTTCAGCTGTTTGTGAGAACACCTTTGTCCCAACCCTGCTCGCATCCCCCCATAAAGATGTTTTCTCCAATTCCCTTCCTGCCCTTGCCCTTGGATCAGGCATCCTGGATTTTTCATTCCTTAGGAAAATCTCCTGTGGAACTTATGTGTCATACAGTGCATTCCAAACTCAGTGTGCTCATAATGAAGCCAACTAGTTTACGCAGAAAGTTGCTTTAGTCTTACTACATGGCTCTGATTGGGGTAAAGTAAATGTGGAGGTCTGAACTAGGCCTTTCCTCTGTTCTACCTCTGAATCTGCTTGCATGAGGTCTTCCTGCGACAGCTCAGAGAGAGAGAGAGAGAACTGGTGTTGGTTTTCTTTTTTTTTTTTTTTTTTTGCTTCTCTTTAGTCCTGATACAGTGATCATCATCAGAATTATAATTGCTGTCTTTTCAGTTTTCCAGGTGGTGCTGCTTCTTTGAATAGCTGTTTGCACTGGGAGAACACTAGATGTATTTCAGAGGAAGCCTGCCAAAATGTCAGAACTCTGCATCTTCTCCTTGAGGGTAGACCACTCTCCTAGGTATTAATCTTAATAATAAAGTCTTGCTATCATTATCAATGACTACTGATAATAAAGACATTAAATCTTGTGGCTCTAAAGCTAGAAACATTTAATGCAGTGAATTTTATTCCGCAAATGTTAAGGAAAAAATCTCCCACAGTATCTGCTTCTGAGTACCCAGAAAAACAAGAAGCCAGAGGTGTTTCACAAAACACCTCTGAAGTGTATATGTCTGTTTTGAAAACACAGGAGTGCTCCCTTTCACAAGGGGGCAGAACATTTCTTATTCATGAGTGGAAAAGTACCTTCAATGCCTTTTACCCTGTCCAAATAGTCTTGCTATTGTCATGTTGATTAAAAGTAACAAACTGTTCTACCTGAGGTGAGCCCCTGCTACTAAAGAAATGATGGACATGGCTGTGTGGCGTTCTGTTGGGAGCTTTTCTAATTGGGATCCTGCCCACCTACTTGATTTTCAGAAATCCAGGAAGAAACCTTAATTTAAATCATCACCTTGGAAATAAAATATGGATGTGTGTGGGGAGATGTTTTTAAGAAGTTTGTTTTTGATAAGAATTTTTAATGAAAAGAAATGCAATGACAACTTGAAAGTTTGATTTCTTTTTCCCTCTCATCATTTGTGTGGTTAATCTACTGGTTAAACTATTAGGGCTACACACTCCAGTCTTTCCAACTTAAGGAGTGTTCTCTTTTCCTACTGCCATAACAACTCTGTCAATCTTGTATATTGCAGTGGCCTCCAGAAGCCTGTATCAGGATCAAATCCTTGTAATGCACTTTGCTACGCAGTGAAATAAAAAGACATGTTTTTTCTCTTCCCACTCTCCAGAGTTCCTGTCCTTTACTATCTTTTAGAGGTAATGTAATTTATGTTTTACGGAATTAACAATATTACTGTTTTCATATATCACCTCTTGTTCATCTCTCCCTCTAACAATTGTCACTTACTTCTTGAACTCTTGTGGTTATGAGAGCAAAAATCAGGTTTGGGGAAGTGCCCAAAGGAATAAAATAGTAGAGTGTGAGGAAGAGTTAGAAATGAGACTTTTTGAAACTTAATTGAGAGCAATTTGAAAAGAGCTATGAACTCTCTATCACATCTATTCTATTTACAGGTGCCTCTGCACTGCCTTCATCTTCCTGCTCTCTTTTCTCATTTTGCACTGCACAGCTCCTACTCATCCTAACAGTCTGCTATACCCTCATTTGTATACAGTGGTTTTTTCCTTCTGTACCAGTGCTAAACACATTTCTTCCCCTTGAGCTCTTCCCTTTCTCTCTCCACTGCTTCCTCCTTGCCTGAGATTTTCAATCATCAGCTCATAGCAGCAGGCTCTGAACTTCCCTGCACTCACCATGCGGCACCTGCCACAGAAAGAAAAACGCACTACTCCATTCATTTTAGAAATGATTTTACAATACGTCAAGATAAGAGGGCCTGGGGATATAAACAAGCTCAGAAATATTTCAAGATCAGGTAGACATAATTAGAACACAGAAGGTTGATTAGATTGTTTCATTTTGCAACAATGAGAGTTTAATCATGTTGGAAATTGATTATGGGATTTCTTGTGGAGATTAGATATTTCTATTGCATTTTAGCATCCTTTAATTACACAAATAAATACTGGTTGTTTACTCTATTTTTTACCCACTTTTTCCCTGCCAGTTTGCATGCGGTAACCAGATATGCTGCCCAGTGGTTTCAGGGCTTCCTCACAGCACTCACTGTAGGGAGGAACGCTGCTGTCTTTTGTCTTCTAGGTGATGGTTGCTCCATTGCTGACTCCCTGATTCCATCCTCCTTCCTATTGAAGATTTGTTCTCTCTGGTCTGAAACACTGATACCACAGAAGAAGTCAGTTTTTCTGGTTCCAGCTATTTAGAAGTGCTATTCTTGGGCAAAACATCCAAAATAAGAAGAATGTTTCAATGCACAAGGATACTGAGTTGCTCAAGCATGCGCAAAAAAGAGCAATGAAGCTGCTGATGTGTCTAGTAAACAAGATTTATGAGGAGTGGCTGAAGACACATGTGCAGGTTAGTATGGAAAGGAAGAAACTGAGGGGAGACCTCATCACTCTCACTTGAACACCTGCACTGCAACAACTTGAATGAACACCTGAATGAATGGAAAGTGAAGTGACCAGAGTGTTGGTCTCTTTTCTCATGTGAGAAACTGACAGGAGATGAGGAAACCTTCTTGAGCTGTGTAAGAGGATGATTAGATTGGAAATTAGGAATAATTTATTCATGGAGAGGATGATAAAGCATTGGAAGGGGCTGCCCAGGGAAAAAAAAAGAGTCTGAATCCCTGGAGAAGTAATTTAAGAGAGGTTTGGACATGGCAGTAAAGGACATGATTTAGTGTGGGATTTGGTCAGTCTGATGGTTGGACGTGGTGGTCTTGGTGGTCTTTTTCAACCTCAATGTTTGCGTGATTTCATAAAGCTACAGCCTCCCCTAAGGAAATTAAGTTGCCTTCTTTCTAGGCAGAGTGCACTAGCTCCCTACTAGTTTCTGCATCACTCCTGCTAAGCATGGGACTGTTGGCTCCTTAGGGGCATGTAGCATAGCGGTTTCTTGCTTTTCCTGCCACAGAACAGCACATATGGTAATAAACAATGGCAGGTTTATTAACGCCCACCTGGATTGCCTCTTCTGCAGGCCAGGTTTTATGTCATGGACATACTAATGTTAAAGTAGTTGCAGCTTGAATCCTCATTATCCTGCAGTATGACAGAGGAAGTTTATAAGATTGCAGGAGACAGAATGAACTAAGCTAGAAAACAAATTTGTTGATTTCCCCTGAGCATCCCTCTTTTTGTGCCTCTGAGGTCAGTTTCAAGCACAGATCTAATCAGATTCACATGCTGGCACATCTTCAGACTATAGACTTATCAGATACTACTACTATGGCTTTAATAACATCTCTCCTTCCATAACTACTTCCTGATTGCAAATCTTTTATGTTTTTCCCTGTATTTTTCTTCTCCATAGCTCCACCCTGATGTGAGAAACTCGTCTTTGGTGACACAGGTCTGAAAGCAGTCTGCTTCAAAACTGTAGGTACACACTGTCTTGTGGGCAGATGTCACAATTTCAAAAATGTAGCATAACATTAAGAAATGGATAACCTGCTGCAGGATTCTGTATTATTAAGGTTTATGAACTCTACATTTAACTGTGAGCTCCAGTCTATACAGCATGTGCAGGACAACTGGGGGTTCAGGCCCAGCCAGCATTGGTTCATGAAGGGCAAGTCCTGCTTGGCCAACCTGATCTCCTTTTATGTTATACTGACCCATCTGGTAAACGAGGGAAAGGCTACTGGTGTAGTCTATCTAGACTTCAGCAAAGCCTTTGAGGCTGTCTCCCACGGTATTCTCCTGCAGGAGTTGGCTTGGACAGGTACATTTTTGGCTGGGTAAGGAACTGGCTGGAGGGGCAGGCCCAGAAAATGGTGGTGAACAGAGCTAAATCCAGCTGCTGACAGGTCACAAGTGGTGTTCCCCAGGGGTTGGTGCTGGGGCCTGTCCTCTTCAGTATCTTTATTGATGACTTGGATGAGGGCATTGAATGCACCTTCAGTTAGTCTGCTGATGACACCAAGTTGGCTGGAAGTGTTGATCTGCCTGGGGGTAGCGAGGCCATACAGAGGGATCTGGACAGGTGGGATAGCTGGGCTTAAGCCAAAGGGATGAAGTTCAGCAAGGCCAAAGGCTGGGTCCTGCACTTTGGTCACAACAACCCCAAGCAATGCTACAGGCTTGGGACAAAGTGGCTGGAAGACTGTGTAGAGGAAATGGACCTGGGGGTATTGATTGAAGCTCAGCTGAACATGAGCCAGCAGTGTGCTGCCCAGGTGGCCAAGAAGGCCAATGGCATCCTGGCTTGCATCAGACAAAAGTGGTGCCAGCAGGAACTGGGAAGTAATTGTCCCCCTGTACTCAGCTCTTGTGAGGCCGCACCTCGAGTACTGTGTCCAGTTTTGGGCCCCTCACTGCAAGAAAGACATTGACGCCCTGGAGCGGGTTCAAAGAAGGGCAACAAAGCTGGTGAGGGATCTGGAGCACAGGGCTTATGAGGAGCAGCTGAAGGAGCTGGGATTGTTCAGTCTGGAGAAGAGGAGGCTCAGGGGAGACCTTATT